ACGACATCATCGACCTCGGGCCGACATTCCTTCACAGCATGATGTCATTCGTAAGGATGAATGGGGTCATCAAAAGATTCGTTCGTAACATGTCCCGTTGCGATGGGAGCATCGTCCAGGGGTATCTGACGCAAGGGTGCATCTCCTTTTGCGAGAATTATATAGGTGTCGGAGACCCTGTTGTTTGTTTGCCCGTTAAGAAGCAACATGGGAGGCTCGGAGGAGCAGGTCACAACAATGGCCGAAGAGAATTGCAGGTGGACTACTTGGATCAATGGAACGACTTTGACAGGGCTAACTTAGTAGTGCTACAACACCTAGATGTGGTAGATGATTATGTGACACTGCATAAAGAAACCATCACAAAGAAGTACCGTGATAAGGGGATGCGCAAGACGGACGACGAAGTTATTGTAGAGCACAACGCCACTTTCTTGTGTTGGTTCAAAGAGCAAGTTCTTCCTAATCCCCCAGAAGTGGCCAGTTCGTACGGATTGCTCATACACGCCTTAGAACATGGCCCCGCGCCCAAACTCGCGACCCATCAGGCATACGATATCAACAGGTACATGTTCTACCCGGTGGCCAAAGACATGGACAGTGATTACTAGAACTCAGGGTGACGATTGAATGCGTGACCGATGCCAATGGCACAACTGAAAGATTCTATGAAAGGGTCGAGATCTGGGAGCTTGACTACGCTGGAATGCATGATACGATGATGTTCCGTGTTAGATGGGCTAAGGACGTTGTAAGAGAAAACAAGTATTTCACTATCAATTGTATACCCGACGCGAAGAGCGCTACCGTGAACGTTAACATCATCGCCAAAACTGAGCCATGGGTACACGCTAAGCACATGACACAATGTTTCTTCATAACCAACCCGACCAATCACAACCGTCTTGTCATGAGGAGAGGCAAAAGGAGCATCGTCGGAATGGATGGAGTCACCAATGAGGAAGACTACGACCAATATGGCAACCTGATGAGGGAAGATGACGATGGCAATGAATTATACATGAAAAGAAGAATCAAGACTGCATTACCTAAGAAAGATCGTACTTCATGGTATCGGAAAAGTCACAACAAGGGGCTCAATTATTCGACAACGAACAAGAAAGGGAAGAAGCTCAATGTGAAACGTCGTTGACGCAACTGATGTATATATTGTCACAAGAAGGGGCTCAATATATTGTGTATGCACTTAAGTAATCGTTATCGGTCGAATGATGTATATATTGTATCCCCTTCAATTACCACCACATGCATGGTTCCGGTGATATTCGCGCAATGTGGGAGGGAGACGTTCTCGTCGACTGCGTGCGAGGCCGTCGGGAGAAAAATAAAAAACAAAAACAAAAATAAGAAAGCAATATAAAAGAAACAAAAAAGGAAAGGAAAATAATAAAAAGAAAAGAAAACTAAAAACTAGAAAAGGAAACTAATCAAAAGAAAAGAAAAATAGCAGAAGCACTAGATTAGGGCCCAGCGCTATAGCTAAGTTAGCTATAACGCTGGTTCCTAATCCAGCGCTACTGCTATGTGTATTTTAGAATTAAAAAATAAAAATTGGAATAGTTAGCGGTAGCGTTGGATTACGACCCAATGCTATAGCTAAGTTAGCTATAACGTTGGGTCCTCATCCAGCGTTACTGCTATTTTTAGTTAACCCGGCCACGTGAGCTCAAAATTTGCCAAGTCGTTTCCCCCCTCTCCCACCTCTCCCCCCACCCCTCTGTAACGCGTCGTTGTCGCCCCTGCCCACCCTCGACCTCGACGCCGTCCGTCGCCCCTACCCGCCCTCGACCTCGACCCCACCGGCGCCGCCCGAAGCCGCCATCGACCTCACCGGCACCGCCCGAGGCCACCCTCAACCTCACCACAGTCGCCCTCTCCCCTGCCCGCCCTCGACCTCGCCGCCGCCGCCCGAGCCGCTGATGACTGTAAGGCCTCTCCCTCTCCTCTCCCCTGCCCTCCTCTCTCTCTCTCTGATGAACCCTAGCATGTTGCTGTGATGAACCCTAGCATGTCTAGATTTGCTTAGGATGGTAGGAATTTTTTTAGCATTTAGGAAAAAATTAGCAATTTTTTTAAGGAAATTAGCTAGGGCAGTAGCTATTTAGCTAGGAAAAATTTAGCAAATATGTTCAGGGCAGTAGCTAATGCAGTAACGAATTAGCAAATTTGTTTAGTAAATTTAGCTAATTAACTAATGCAGTAGCTAATTAGCAAATTTGTTTAGCAAATTTAGCCAGGGAAAAATTGTTTAGAAAATTAGCTAGGACAACATTTTATGAAAATGCATATCTTTAAATAAAAACAGTAGCATTTAGCTAGGGCATTTTTAGCAAATTTTCCCCGGTCCATGCAGCGGTCAATGCAGCTGTAGCTGGCGTCACGACTGACTTCACATCTTCCATTATTACATGCTTGATTTCGGCAATTATCGATTGGACGAAGAACAATCCAGATAAAGGGCCAGCGGACTTTCCCCTTCCCAGCTACGTCGGGAGCAATTCGGTGAACATCGCACCACCAGCACCTGCCCACGCAACCGCACAAGGTCCCTCTCCTATTTATAGCAGCCCGTCTGTCTCTGGCGTGCTCGGTGGGGCTTCGTCTTTTGGTTGAGCTCTACGCCCTCATGGTAATTACACGTCATACCCTCTTCACCAGCATGTCTATAGTCTTCCATTTCAGTTGCCTTTCGTATGTTTGACATCGCAGACATGTCTTCGCAGGCCGACGAAACCCCGTGAACCCTACTGCACGACATCAACAAACAGAAGGTGGGTGTGGGAAAGGCAACGATTGTGAAGCCGAAGGACCACATGTTGCACAACCGAGAGATGCCCCATGGCGTCTTCAAGGTTAGCGTGGCTAATGTCAAAGCGGGCTTCGAGGATTTGCCTTGTGGAAGGTTGCATTAAAGCAGCAGATGCTTGTCAACCGGAGGTGCCTTGTTATTTTGGTAGTACTTCTTATTTTGGTCTTTGTGATATAGGGTCCTCTATTAATGTTATACCTTACACTCTTTATATACTAAGCTTCATGATGAAGTTTATGCTTGTGACTTGTAGCCAACTGATATGAAAATTAAATTGGCACATGGTACCCAAAGGTGACCTTATGGGATGGTTTCATTTTAA